TAGGATCGGAAGGATCTAAGGGAATCTTTTTAGTCTCGGCTTCGGTTTCCCCACTTTTTGAAATCTTGGCAGCTGGCACTTCTCCTTCGCTCACCGTGGTTGCAGCCAGTCGGATTTCCTCTCGGGCAGACGCCATCTCGCGGGTTTGGGCCATATCACAACTCTCCTTGTCACATGTGACAGCTTGCTTGATGTCGCTCCGTAGGGTTAGGACTCCTCGGGGACCAGGCATCTTCATCATCATGTATGTGTAGTGCGGGACGGCCATGAACTTGGCTAACGCCGGGCGTCCGAGTATGGCATGGTATGCTGTCTCGAAATCGGCAACTTCAAAGCTGATATTCTCTGTGCGGAAGTTTTCCCGAGTGCCAAAAGTGACCGGGAGAGTGATCTGGCCGAGTGGAGTTGCGGATAATCCTGGAATTACTCCATGAAAAGGCGCATTGCTTGGTTTTAACTCGGAGCGAGGGATCTGCATATCATCCAAAGTCTTGGCGAAGAGGATATTGAGTGCACTGCCACCATCAATGAGGGTTCTGCGAAGCTTGACATTACGGACCACTGGGTCTAGTACCAGGGGGTACCGCCCCGGGTGGACCACTCGGTCAGGATGATCCGAGCGGTCAAACTTGATTGCAATCTCTGACCATCGAAGATACTGGGGTGTGTCGGGCTGAACAGCATTGATCTCCCGTTCGGTCAGCTTTTGCTTCCTTTTAGACTCATAAGCCATGGGGCCGCCGAAAATATGATTGAGCTCCTTACGGTGGTCTTGAAATCCAGCCGGGGTGTCGCCGTCGTCCTTCTTCCTTGACGTGCTTTGTTCCTCGTCGGAGTTCTTCCGAGTAGACTTGGTGTACTGCTCCGCGAACTGCTTGTAGATGAAGCATTCTTTGGCCACGTGGTTGGAGTTTGGATGATGCGGGCATTGGGAGTTCATGATCTTGTCGAAGGTGTTGACGCGCGAACGCTGTCGAGAAGAGTGAGCGGCGGTTGCAACAAGTTCCTCAGGCTTGCGCTTGCGGTCCTTATGATTGTTACTTCCACCTCCTCCCGTAGCCGGCGTATTTTTCGGCTTCCAACTGGGACCCGACTGCTTCGATGCGGTGACGGCGTCTTCGGCTTTGGCGTACTCGTTGGCTTTTTCAAACATGAGCTTGACTGTTCTGGGAGGTTTGCGCCCGAATTTGCCGACCAATTCTTCGTGGCGAATCCCTTTGGTGAATGCGGCGATGATGACGTCGTCGGTGATGTCGGAGATCTTGTTACGTTGTTCAGAAAATCGCCGGATGTAATCTCGAAGAGATTCTCCGGACTTCTGAATGACGTTGTAAAGATCATATTGTGTGCCGGGACGCTCGAAGGTGCCTTGGAAGTTGGCGATGAAGTGGTCGCGTAGTTCGGCCCAAGATCCAATTGTACCACGGGGCAATCCATGGAGCCAAGATCGGGCGGAATCCGCTAAAGCCACTGGTAAATAGTTCGCCATGGCCTTGTTGTCTCCTCCTGCTGCGCGGATTGCGAGACCGTAGACGGTAAGCCACGATTCGGGGTTAGTGGTGCCGTCATACTTCTCTATTCCAGTCGGTTTGAAGCCGGCTGGCCAATCCACTCGACGCAGGTCGTCGGTGAAGGCTGCAACTCCGTCAAGGTCGTCGTCGCGGCGATCCGGCGAGTGATGATAGCCTCGAGCTGCTCGGCGCTGCGTGATTGTGTCGCGAAGATCGATGGGGCGGCGACGAGGTGGTGAGCGAGGCCGTTCCACTCGGCGCTCCCTATGAAGTTCGGGAGGCGAGTGAACAGACCGCTCGTCGTGGCCCCTGCTCCTGCGATTGGATCCTGCTCCAGTAATGCTGAGGCTTGGATGACGGTAGTCATGAGATCGGAAGTGGGGGACCCGGCTGCCAGTCGGCGTGTGGACGCTTTCGGAGTTAACTGGGACCGTCGCCGCAATCATGGTCTTCGTCTGGTTCAAGATGTTGACGACGTGGTCGGATTGATTGAGCTCGTTTTGGTTGAGGAGGGTGTCGAGAAGGGTGATCGCGGCAACCGCATTCTGTTGAGGGGTGCGGAAAACCGGTGTCCCTTCGACATCTTGCTGGCCGATGAGATCACGCGCTCGGCGCCCTGCTTCCAAAGCTCGTTGACGTCGATCCTCAGCCTCCTTCGCGGTCCGCTCACGGTCCTGCTGCTCACGCCGTAGCCGTTCTTGTTCTTGCGCTTGATGCTCCTCCTCCAGTCGGCGACGTTCTTCGTTCTCCCTGGCTTGGCGTTGCTCCTCCGTCTCATTATTGGCCATGAAAACGCCAAAGTAGAGAGGGGTGTAGTTGTCATCTAGGCTTCCGTCGAAGTCGTCGAAGTCGTCGAAGTCGTTGTAGCGAGAACTAAATTCGTCGTACTCCACGATGTCAGTAGGACGTGAGTCGACGGTGGGAGAGCTGTTGTAGTCATCCAGCTGATCCGTCGAAACCGTGCCGAGTGGTTGGAGGATGACGCCGACTTCCCTGAAGCTAGGCGAAATCGGTGTTGAAGCCGACTTCCGCCTAGGCCTACGGGATGAAGGCGCTGTCGTGGTGAAGACGGCCGCTAAATCGTCGGGGAGCTTCATCAGGACCGGTGGGTAAGCCCCATCATCCTGATCTGGTATCGTTGGAGAAGATGCGATCTCGGCCGAGTGGTTTGAAGCCGACTCGGTTGAGGTGGTCTTGAAATAGCTTTCAGCCGCGTTCGGGAATCCAAACGGGACCGAAAGCCGGTTCTCTCCCGACTGGTCTGATTCCGAGTCGAGGAGAGAAATCTTGCCGAAGTTGTTGGTGATGAAGTCGAGGCTGCCGAACCGAAACGTCTGCCCGGGTGGGAAGACGAGGTCGTCGATGCCGGAGATGGAACCCATTGCACTGATCGGCGAAAAAGCTTGACGCTACCCCTACCTGGCGCGCCAACTGTCGAAACTAGATTTCGGCAATAATAAAAGGGGGTGGCTATCAAGCTAGGAAAGTGTATGGGTTTGGAAACAAAGGATTTATACAGGTTCAGGCCTTCTTATAAAAGAAGTAATACCCTACTCCTGTCCGGGGATGAATCCGCCGAGTGTATTATTGATTGTATGATTCGGGAAAAAATCAGCATATGCCCCTAGAGGCGCCCGGACCCCCCTTATATATGGGAAGGAGTCCGGATTACAAAAGATAATCTATATTCCTAACGGAATATGAAGATACAGATAAAATACAGTCGTAACCGACTAAGTCTCTGGGTGTTTCCTTGATACACAAGTTAAGAAACAAACCCGAGATACAGATAAGATATTCTATCTACATTAGGTATCCTGTACCCAGTTCGAATACCATCGCCGTGTAGATATGGGATACCCATAATCTCCACACTATCATACAGGACCGCGGCATAGGCGGCTCCCTCATCCGTCTCATCTTCCATGATTGTTTTGTCAGGGTATATTTTGTTTCTTCCTCCGTTTAATAATGTAAGTCATTCTATCATTTCTCACATTCATATTAATGTTAATGAATCTAGATATATACATTTCCTATCTAGATTCATTAACATCAATATGAATATGGGAAATGATAGAATGACTTACATTGTGTAACGGAGTGAGTACATATCGGTACTTCATCTATTTCATATTATAAATTGTTTCGGGTTTTAAATGGATTTATGAGTGAATTCATTTATATTACCTCTATTTCTCATTATAAGTCATTCTATTTTTTTTCCTAGTCAAACTTTCAATTTATAGAAAAATATAGTAACTTTTTCAGCACAAAGAAAATATTATATTATCAAAATGTATTAAATGTTAATCTTAATGATATTAATTTGGTGTTGTAAATGTTGCTAAAATTTTTCATAAACTTAATCAAACTTAAAAAGGTTTGAAAAAAAATTAAAATGAGTTATAATACTCTCTCCATCATATTCCAAATCTAAAAAATTTACTTTTGATAGGCATATTTCAATCCAACCACCTATTCTTTTAATGACTTTCTTGGATTTCATGGGGGTGGCTAATTGGCGCGCGCCCGCCTGTTGGCCCCGGCCCGGAAGCCCATCAGGCTTCTTTTTTTCTTTTTTTTCGCAAGATTTTTTTGCGATTTTTTTGCCTTTTTCTTTTATCTTTTTTTTCGCTTTTGTCTTATTACTTTTTTAATCTTTAGCACACATATTTTTTCAAAAAATGTTTTGAGTTGAAAATTTTTAAATCTTTAACTTGAAAATTTTAAATTTTGATTTGAAAGTTATCAAATCTTAAGTTGAAAGTTTTCGAATCTGAGTTGAAAGTTTTTAATCTCAAGTTGAAAACTTTTAAATCTGAGTTGAAAGTTTTCAAATCAGAGTTGAAAGTTTTCAAGTCGAAGTTGAAAGTTTTCAAATCAGAGTTGAAAGTTTTCAAATCTGGGTTGAAAATTTTTCAAATTTAAGATGAAAAGTTGAAAGTTCCAAAATTTGACTTTAAAAAATTTAAATTTTGAGTTAAAAGTTTTTAAATCTGGGTTGAAAATTTTCAAATCTAGATTGAAAGTTTCAAATTTTGAGTGGAAAGTTTTTAAATTTGAGATGAAAGTTTTCAAATATGGATTGAAAACGTTTCAAATTTGAATTGAAAGTATTCAAATATCAGTTAAAAGTTTAAAATTTTGAGTTCAAAGTAATAACACAAAAATAGAAAATAACTAAAAAAACAAAACGTGAAAAAAAAGGGAAAAAGATGTGGGCCTAACAGAAAAAACACAAACGACGAGTCCTTTCTCAATAAAAAAAGTGCGCGCTATTTGCTTAACTCGCGCAGCTTTTCCGGAATTTAATGCGTGACTCTCCATTCTTCCACGCAATATTGGCTATATAGGCATCGAGAAATGTAAATATATTAATAAATCGCTTGTTTACGAGAAATAACTAGTAGCATATTTAAATGGATGATAAGTAAAATTACTTATCTTTGATCGGTGTATTAAGATAAAATATAACTATAAAAAGTAATGAAGGGAGTACGAAACAGAGGACCAAAACAACTTATATAGTGAAAAGGAGTAGTAGTTTTGAAGCACTAAGGAGGTACTAGTAGCTTTGAAGCACTTGGGACTAATGAGTGGTTGCACAATGCATGCATGCATGCATGAGTATTGCAGGGTTGCGATGGTTCCGTCCTCCTTAACGCGTCCGACGAGAACCCTCGTCCTGAGACGGCAGCGCCGGTGAGCATCGGGCTGGAAGGATTCGACATCCTGGAGGAGATCAAGGCCGATCTCGAGAGGAGGTGCCCCGGCGTGGTCTCCTGCGCCGACATCCTCATCTTCGCCGCCCGCGACGCCAGCAGCATCCTCAGCAACGGCCGCGTCCGCTTCGACGTCCCCGCGGGCCGCCTCGACGGCGTCGTCTCCTCCGCCTACGAGGCCCAGGCGGAGCTCCCGGATCCCACCTTCACCATCCGGCAGCTCATCGACAACTTCGCCCGCAAGAACTTCACCGTCGAGGAGCTCGTCGTCCTCTCCGGCGCGCACTCCGTCGGCGACGGCCACTGCTCCTCCTTCACCGCCCGCCTCGCCGCGCCGCCCGACCAGATCACCCCGTCCTACCGCAACCTGCTCAACTACAGGTGCTCCCGCGGCGGCGGCGCCGACCCTGCGGTGGTGAACAACGCCCGCGACGAGGACCTCGCCACCGTGGCGAGGTTCATGCCGGCGTTCGTCGGCAAGCTGCGGCCGGTCAGCGCCCTGGACAACACCTACTACCGCAACAACCTCGACAAGGTGGTCAACTTCAACTCGGACTGGCAGCTGCTGACGCAGGACGAGGCGCGCGGCCACGTCCGCGAGTACGCCGACAACGCCGCCCTCTGGGACCACGACTTCGCCGCCTCGCTGCTCAAGCTCAGCAAGCTGCCCATGCCGGTGGGGAGCAAGGGGGAGATCAGGAACAAGTGCGGCGCCATCAACCACAGCAAGAGCTAATTCGGCCACTTATGCAGGGGGTTACGTACATGCATGCAGACGATGTGGTCGTAGCCATATGTTTTCTTGTTATATCTCATCGTTCTAAAATACAGAAAACCTTGTACTCGAAAAAAAAAGACTACTCCAGTATAATATAAAGTATTTGTATTTGTGGTTACCCATATATTTACCTGTTATGAATTGTTACTACCTTCGTCCCTGATTTTGCATCTGTTAGTGCATAGACTAAATCCCATACATATTTAGTACTCGTGGATTGTCATGTAACTGGGCTGAATCGGTATACATATTGAGCCCATGGCTAGCTAGGCTCAATCCGCTGCGATAAGCCAATCATTCAAGCCGTTACAAAAGGAGCAGATCCAACAGATGGGAGGATCGAACAAAATAGATGAAACCTGAGTTCTTCCTTCCGATGCTCTCTCTTCTTCAACCTCTGTATCTCTCTTCTCTTCAATCCCTGGCTATCTCTTCTTCTCCAATCTACTGCTAATTCTCAGTCTTGATTCCATTTCTCCCATTTGTATCCCCAAATACTCGTGTATCAAGTGTTGGAGGAAGAATTGTGTGCTTGTGCTGGAATTCACTAAATCACATAGAGTGGGTTCGTAACAATATGGTATTAAAGCCAACAATCCATGGGTTCCAAGCCAGGAGATGAGATGGATGACATACGTGGCAGCCGCGACTTCCATAGACTGGATCTAAGAATTTGGGGTGGTTGCACTTGAGGCGTCTAAGAACACACATGAACATCTAAGAACACAAGAACACAACATGAATATCTAAGAACACACATGAACATCAAGAACACAAGATGAACACACATAAACAAACCAGCATCTATAGTATAGTTGTCGGACTTTTTTCAAAATCGGCACTTATAAATACTTAAAGGTGCCAATTTTTCCCTTTAGCGCCCCCCGCGGGCGCTCCGGTGGGTGGGAAAAGCATAATAGGTGCCGGTTTTAGTTATTCCGGCACCTATAATACTGACTTTTATGTGTCTTTTTGTAGTACTGATTTGCAGTTGACATGATTATCATCGAACACTTATGGGAGAAAAAAATAAATTTGTTCTAGCCAAATCAATAGAGAGTGCAGATGAGAACTTTTGAAAAATGGGGTCCAAAAACATGTTGAAACACATTTGTTTAGATCCATGCATGTACATGGAAATTTTCGGGGTTGCTAGTCTATTGGTCGCTCGCTTTGCACCTGCCAATTGATAGGCCCAGTAGTTGACGTGATCTGACACACGGCTGGGATGAACGTAGGTTAGCTGCTTCCCAACCAGTCAACAGGACCTCTTAAACAAAAGGGAAGTCAAATAAGAAAATGTTTAATTAATCTAGCCTGGTTCGGATGCTAGATAACAGTAATGGAGTGATTAAATATTGATGAGACCACTATAATCTCGATTATATTTGAGCTAGCGAACATGCCTGCTATAGTTCCCTCAAAATCCTAAAGATATGTATGGCGTTAGCGTCCTTTCCAGTGGATACGCTTAACACAAGCTTTTGACGTGAAAGTTAATTAATTTACTACTGTACATGGAAAGAAATTCTACAAATACATCGCTCTTAGGTAACAGCATTTGAATTGAAATAAAGATACATGTTGTCAAATCGACCAAATAAACTGACCTCCTTCATAGGGGCGGAACTAGCCACCGGGCGGCTGCTTGGGCTCGTTAGCGAAAACTACACAAAATTTTAATATTAATGAGTAAATAGATGATGAAATTTCTATAGCAAATATCAGTTATATTGAAATTTGTCTGGGCTCAAAAATCTTTCTAGCTCCGCCATGCATCCTTCCATCAAATACTGTGCTTCGGTTGACACATGCATGATGCATCTGGACGGCCAATTAATTTACTCTATATAGCTCCAGCCGAATTTAAATTAAGTTCACCGTCACAACGCCAGGTATGGATCGATGTCAACGCCTACACGTTTTATCAGTTACTAGCTGTTTTGCTCCCCATGTTGTTAGACAACAAGAACTGGCAAATAACTATTCTGATGATTGCTCTCCAAATATTCCTCAAATCTCTTATTTAATCAATCTCCTCATTCAAAAGGAGTAGCTCAATTATCAATGATCAATTTGCACATCCATTTGTACCTATAAATACATCGAATGTTTGCCTGTCACATCATCAAACATCAACCAATCCTTTGAGGTAGCGATCACTACACATATATTCATTCGGTTTCAGGCGTTTCTTTGCTGTCTCCTAGTGAACAACCTTGTCAGAATTCAGAATGTTCAGCAGGGGGATGAAGCTAATTCTCATGGTAGCCTTCCAGGCTATGAGCCTCATCTCCATATCAACTGCAAGTCTGCAGTACAATTTCTACGGCTCGTCGTGCCCAAATGCCGAGCAGACGATCAGCAATGTCGTCTACGGCTTGATCGATGCTGACCCTTCCATGGCCCCGGCGCTGCTGCGTTTGCATTTCCATGATTGCTTTGTCATGGTAATGTAATTGCTAACCACAAGTTAATTTAGTTTTTCAACTATGAATTGATAGCAGTTTTAATTTCTCACAAGATATATTACTGCAAGCAAAGCTTAGATATTGATGGTTAATTACTTCATTTTGTCCCCAAAAAAAATGTAAACGAAGTTTTTTTTTTTTTGTTTTTTGATCATGCAGGGTTGTGATGCGTCCATCCTTCTTGATCCCACGAAGGCAAACGGCTCGCCGGAGAAGACAGCGATCCCGCTCCGCGGGTACGACGCCGTGAACAAGATCAAGGCGGCCGTCGAGGCCGTCTGCCCCGGCAAGGTCTCCTGCGCCGACATCCTCGCCTTCGCCGCCCGCGACTCGGTGGCCAAGTCCGGCGGCTTCGTCTACCCGGTCCCCGCCGGCAGCCGCGACGGCAACGTGTCGTCCGCCTTCTCCGTCTTCTCCAGCATCCCGTCGCCGTTCTTCGACGCCGGGGAGCTCGTCCAGAGCTTCGCCGCCAAGGGGCTCACCGTCGACGACCTGGTGGCGCTCTCGGGTGCGCACTCCATCGGCACCGCGCACTGCTCCGGGTTCAAGAACCGGCTGTACCCGACGGTGGACGCGTCCCTGGACGCGAGCTACGCGGCGGCGCTGAGGGCGGCGTGCCCTGACGGCAGCGCCGCCGACGACGGCGTGGTGAACAACAGCCCCGTGTCGCCGGCGACGCTGGGCAACCAGTACTTCAAGAACGCGCTCGCCGGGCGGGTGCTGTTCACGTCGGACGCGGCGCTGCTGACCGGCCAGAACGACACGGCGGAGAAGGTCAGGGAGAACGCCGGCGACCTGACCGCGTGGATGGCGCGGTTTGCGGCGTCGATGGTGAAGATGGGCGGCATCGAGGTGCTCACCGGGGCGCGGGGGGAGGTCAGGAGGTTCTGCAACGTCACCAACAGCTAAAAAGCTATACTGGCTGGCTCGAGTGAAGAACGCACTTGTGCCATTGGTGTGCGTGCCGTTTTTGCTTAGTGGCAAGTTTGCACCTTGTGCTAATTAAACGTTTTTGTTCTCCAATCTACACCATGCACACACACCATTCATGTTGCAATTTTTTATTGCCACCTTGTTCTATAAGAGGAGGAAAATTAACCACCTTAATTTGTTATTCACTCTGGTTATAGTATTTTGGTTGTATGGCTCATGTAAAAGATTTGGGGCTTTTTTTTTTAGAATTACACAGTGCAATGTAGATACTCACAACGCACACGCACTCACATCTATGAATACACGCACGCAAACCCTACCCCTATAAGCATCTTCGAAAACTGGGCCGGCAAATCCTTGAGATTGACGAAGTCACCATAGGCACCTCGTTGTCGACGGATATGTCGCCTACCACTAAAAGCACAACGCCGTTATATCTTAGAAAATCCGCTCCCATGGGGAGTCGAACCCAAGACCTCAGGTGCTACTGAGGCTCTTGTAACCACTAAGCGAAAACGCCGTTATTATTATTATTTTTGGAGAATTTGTGATTTGGATCTGAGATTTGTGTGTGATGTGAATATGTGATGCATTTGTGATGAATTTTGTAGAAGTTGTGATGTAATTTTTTTTAAGATTTTATGATGTATTTGGAGATGATCGATTTGAGGATTTGGAGGCAATTCGGGGATGATTGATTTGGGATTTTTGGGATGGGATGGAGTGAAATCAATATATTAAAAACAACAATGAAGAAAAGAAAAGAATAAAGGAGCAACTGAATCTAACCTCTTTAGTCCCGGTTGGTAACACCAATCGGGACTAAAGATAGCCGGGACTAAAGATAGCGATCTTTAGTCCCGGATTCGTAGTCCCGGTTAAAAAATCAGGTCTACAAAAGGTTACGAATCAGGACTAAAAAGCACTTCTCTACTAGTGTGCAAATGTGTGAGCCCCCATTGACCAAGTGTAGGAGCAAACCCTCTAAAAGTGTCCAGCCTCTCTGGCCTTGATCAGTCAATTGATCGACATCGGTTTGTCGTTTCGCAAATGGTAGAAATGATGATGGGTTTTTGATACTGAATTGAGTCTCTGAGCGAATTCTGATGAGTAGGAAAAGCATCTTCATAATGAAGGTCCTAAATCTCGTATGTGAATTCCTGTTGATAAAGAAAATGATGGTTCACTTGGAACTATACTTGTGCAAAAGAATCCTATTCTTTTTTTTTGGTGCCCTTATGGTGTATATGTTGTGATAGTAAACAAAGAAAGGAGGTGTTTTGTTTTCGGAAATGGTGGAAAAGGAACTTTTGCTCATCTCAAGTTCCCTTTCTAGCTGGCCATTTTGCGGAGGGGGAAAAACCAACTTTCCCTGTAAAACAGTGTGCTTTGATCCTTCTATGTTATTCGTTTTGTTCGTGAAATTCTTTCGAGGTTGCTGACATTTTTGTGTTTTCCACATGGAACAAAGATCTGCCACCAAGAATACAGCAGGCCAACATGCATCTTTCTGGGTGTTCAAGCAGGATTGTCCTTGTTGACATCAGAATTGACGATGGTATTTTCAGCCTCTTCTCTTTTCGATATTTAATATGAGATCTGAGCCTGAGAAATTTCAGCCATAAATGCTGCATGTTTTGCACATGCTTTGTTCTGATTGTAATATCTGGCAATTTCAGATTTTTGGGATAGCACTTGGATTCAATCTTCTATTTGAATATGATGATCTCATCACTGGGATATGTT